GGACACAGACAGACCTGGCTGTCCAGAGAGGACAGGCTCAGTGACCACAGCCAGCACAGATAAGCAGAGACATAGATGTACTTTTTGCTGCACTATGAGAAAAACCCTGGGATTAGACAAACATTCCTCTCTAAAATAAATCTAATCCCAGTATTCCCACTCCTACTAGAATCCAATCATCTTCCTGTCCTACTGGAGGATCGAGCTCAAAAAAGCTACAACCCAGTATGAGACCTCCTGCCACAGGGACAGAGAGTGAGCCTCCCAATGTCATAGTCATGAAAGTAAATGTTTTGCTGTTATTGCTTTGGCATTACTGTAATTAAAATAAAAAATTGGATTAAAAAGAGAGGTAGAGAGACAGAGAAAGGGGAAAATGAGGAAGAGAGAGAATGAAGGAGGGGAATACAGAGAGAAAGAGAGAATGATGGGGGCACAGGAAGAGAAATACAGAGGTAGAGAGAGGCGGCGGAGGAAGATGTCAAGTATTACAATTCAAACATCTTATTAACAGCTACCCTGAAACCATTACACTGCTGTGATTAAATAATTACGGTAACAACTGTGGGATTATTTACATCACTGTTTAATCTGTTAGACCATAAAATCTTGATCTAACCCTCTATGTACATCAGGGATAAATTTGAGAAAGCCAAGAACCCCCCCCCCTCCTTGCAGTACCACATACCTGCCTACAGGGGTCACTCCAGTTCAATGTGTTGTAGAAACACTTTGCAAGGTTAAGACTTGCTTAATAACCTTCAACTCCATTTTGCTGCAGACTTCTGTTCCAACCAGAACTAATAATGAGCTGGATTAACATATCTGTTAAGGTGCGGGCTGTATTAAGTGGTAACATCATCGTCATGTCATAAAGATTCTGTAGCTGACAGCTTGGGACTCATCCCATAATATTTTACAATACTGCAAATATTGTAGGGGGGTTATGTCTGTTTCAGACTACAGCAGTTCCCAAAACTGTAAAAGTCACAAGTACTTTTGTCTAAACCCCCCCCTTTTTAAAAGGTCAACATTGTTCACGTTAAAAAGAAAAATCTCAAATCTGGCTACATAGTAGGACTCCCATCTACTCACCCAGAATCATTCAGCAAAGCAGATGCACAAACACACATAACACACAAACCACACGCGCGCTGGTGTTCACAGCGCTGCCGACCGAGTGGGACACAGGATTAAGATCGATTCAGCTCCAGCAGGGAAGGATCCGATCAGCAGGAAGGTGCAGGAGACCAGGATCAGGGCGGCACAACGTGTGGCAGTAACTGCTAACCCAGAAATCCCGCACAGTCCTTCAGGGCCACACGCATCCCCACACTCCAGCACCTCGTTGAGCTGCAGGGGAACCCGTCACCGAGGGGCACGCAGACTCTCACACCAGCGCAGGGGGACAGGGGCAAGCAGCTCAGACATTTCTCACCCTGGCTAGCCGGCTCCTGTGGTGGTTCGAACCCTGAACCCCGGGTCTGGTCTAAAATCACCCAGGCTGGATCTCCTGGAGACCCCTGTCAGCCCTGTGCTTGGCCGTGTAAATGCGGGCTGGGACAGCGAGGCTCTGGGACAGGACTGGTCAGATGTAGCTGGCTGGGTTAATACTTGTGCCAGGGCTCTGTACCAGGACTGGATGACTAGACTGGTAAATGATCCTGAACTGCGCAAGTTAACTGTGTTCTAGTCCAGTGGATCTCAAACGTTTTAGATCATGTACCCCCTTTTCTCCATGAGGCACCCCCAACACATATACCGATCATAGAAGATACATTCATGGCTTATTTCTCCTGCTTACCTCTCTATTTTATTCTTATTTCCTGTTATGCCACAGCATCTATTCTAATATTCACCATTCCTTTCTGACTCAGGTAGATACCATCTGTAAGCTGAAAAGCAAATAATGAAATCTTGCTTTGTGTCAATCTCCACTGTAATGGACACAGGTGCCTGCACGTTGCTGACGTTTTGAACTTCTACACAGAGCAAGCGGTACTACAGACAATGCAAAGGGAAATTTTAGATTTTCCACACATACTAATTCACCCCCAAAAAGCCTCTAACACAGCAGGCTGTTAGGTTTAACCACTAAGGCCTTAATTCAAATGAAAAATAATTAGGAAGGAAAGCACAGTGAGCACTGCAGCACACGACTGACCATAATGTGATTACGAGCACATTTTATTGCATTTTTAGGTTCTCTGCTGGAGCTGTTCTCCCTAACCTGACATGCATCTCACTGGTTTAGAAAGGCACAGTTTAGAAAATGAAGGAGAGGTCCCACTGTTTTGTAAACCGATTAAAAAACATCTAATAAAAGTAACCTGTGTGCCACCAATATACGTGTTAATTCCAAAACCAGCCGCTAAGGCAGCAATTTTAGCTCCTCGCGAATCAAGTTTTCTGTGTAAACGTGCAGAGCACGGCACATGATTAAAACTCAGATGACAACAGACCTTGTGCAGCAACTACTAGACAGCGGTCCAACACTGGCAAGATTCAGACTGAAGTTATTCATTGCTGCAGATACAACATGAACGCTGTGCAGTCATTTTGTTATCCTTCACTTGCGGATGCCCACCCACGCCCCTGCGTTTGAGAACAGCTGGCCTAGTCCACAACAACTCGGACCAAGTCTCACCCAAACCCGGGATCTGCCATCTCTGTTGGGACCTAAACACAACAGCCACTCTGCTGTCGCAGCTTTGCACAGGATTCTCGAGTGCAGGCGAGCTGACAGTCTAGACTGACTGCCTCCTTCCAACTCTCAATTTCTCAATCACAAAGACGGGTCTCCTGGGGAGGTAGAGAGGAGTCTGGGGTGCGACTGGCGGGCAAGGGGTGGGGGTGCAGACCAGGACAGGCTGCTTCCCTGGAGGAGTTAGCCTATGATTGCAGGGAGGGCTCTCTAAACCTCGAGTGTCTCTGGGTGGCTGGCGGTGTCTGAGTGCTGGGGGAGGAGGGGCTGCCTGACCGTGTCGTCCCGCCCCCCGCCCACTCCGGCGTCTGTCTACATCACGGCGCATTTCTTCTCCTCGGACGGCGCGTTGCCGTCAGCCCTCTCCATCTCCACGATGATCCTCTTGAAGACTTCCACGGCCGTCTGCAAGGTGGCGGGCAAGGGAGAAGACAGGACAGGAAATGCTTACCAAGGCTTCTTCAGCATTCAGACACACCCTGAGGACCACACGTGGGACTCCCACCCCAATTACCCTGGGTGTCGAAACTACTTCAGAGCACCACGAGACCTGCTGGATTGTGGCGCTCAGGAAGCCTCCAGCTCTCCATCCAAACCAATCTCGCGCTCCTTCCGGGTTGCTCTCCTGTAAGTACTTACCTGATTCTCTTTGGCCGAAGACTCCATGAATGCGGCGCCCCAGGAATCAGCCAGCTTCTTGCCTTCCTCTGGTTTGATGACCCTGGGGCAAGAGAGCAGAGAGAGGGTTCAATTACACACACCAACCGCAATAACTCAGATGGACGTGATCGCACTCAGATCCCCACACACTGTAAGACCCGGGCATGATCGCACTCAGATCACAGGGGCACTATTAGACTCAGGCATGCCTGCATGCACAGAAGCACACAGATCTCACTCAGATACCCTCTCACGCTCGGGACACAATGGCACTCACAGACTCGACCGCTCACAGACACCCTTGCGCTCACAGTTACCTCTCCATGTGAAGGTCTTTTTTGTTTCCAACAAGAACGGTAGGCACCCTAAAAAAATAAAAATAAAAACAATTTAATCATTCAAAAGACTGAAAAACTCGACTACCTCCAGAATCCACAGGAACTTACTGGATCTTCCCAACCATGTCCAGCAGCTTGTCGTGCAGGACCTGGACTACCTCGAAGCTGCAGGAGAGAAGAGCGACAGGGTTAGGACACAACGACTTCGGACAGAGGACAGCTCACCCACGGAGAGACCCGCGCAGCATGGACAGGGGGGTGGACTGGCTTGGCCTTAATGTTAAGCGCGGGACATCCCAGACCGGAAAAAACACCCTGCCGCCGGCCAGCGTTTCCAAAGCGCGAGATCGAGTGAAACCTTGGGGTTTCGGCCTGCAGCGCGGTCGCCGGGATCGCCTCTTTGGCGTCTTCGTTGCTCGAGTCGCTCGCAGAGCCGCCGGTCCAGAAGGCGGGAGTGATTTCTTAGACCCGGCCTCTTTGCTTCAGAACCGGGTCGGCATTCTTGCTTCCGTTCTGCCCTGCCTGTTTCAGCGGCGGACCGGCTCTGTACGGGAGCGGCCGCAGGCCCGGGCGGGACGGGTCTGGGCTTGGCTGGGGAGCCGGCGGGGCGAAGCTGCCGCCTGGGGCGACGCCACGAGCGAAAACCAATCGATACGTGGAACGAAAAAACAAGCCATTCAGGCATGGGGCAAAGCAAAATCCCGCTAGAACCGGACCACTCGCAGACAGCTTCACCTTACCTTCCACAAGTACGAGACCACAAATTCAGGAAGACTGCCCAGCCTTCCGGGTCTGGAACACGCGTCATCCCTCCCCGACCCATACCGTCCCAGGTCCTGCGCAACAAGCCCTTCCCACGTTCCCAGGAAACGCGGCGGACAGTCGTGCGGAGTCAGGACAGGGCTCGGCACAGTACTGCGGCCTCACCTGGACTTCGCCCACAGCCTCATTTAAACCCGGCCTGCACCGGAGCAGACGGAACCGAACCACAGCGCAGCAGGAGTCTCACCTCTTCGTGGAGGTGACGGAGTAGACCAGCACGTAGCCGTGGATGTCCATGGAGTGAGACTGGGGGAAGATGGAGTACTCATCCTGGGGGACAGGTGACACACAGGGTCAGAAAGGACCTGGAGCCTCAGGCACGGCTCCGAGCATTACACACAGACACAGGGACGTGACAGAGACGTGACCGTGGCACTGCGAATACTGAGCCTTTCTGGGTTGGGAACAGGCACTAACAGAGGCAGGTCTAGCCTGGATCAGAGGGGATGTGTTCAGGGACAGGAGTGCTGTGGGAATCAGTGCTAACAGAGGCAGGTCTAGCCTGGA